TAGAATATCTTAAATAAAGTAACCTTTTGTATGATTTAATAGAGTTCTGAATGTGGTCCAATATCTGTTAAAACTTTGTATAAAATACCGGATATTTGAGGAAGGCAGTCTAATGGACATGTTAACCAGTCATTATCTGTGGCATACATGCCAAGTTCTTTCCTACACAACTAGAACATCATAAAGTTAAGTAGCAGGGCCACAGTCTCTCAGCTTCTCTGGGCAAGGTGCCTTCATAGATGGAGATACAGCAGTCATAGGCAGTAGGGAGTAGTACAATTGAGCCTTTTAAAGATATTGCTAACTATGTAACTTTCTATTCTTAATAGAAGGATTCATATGATAAAAATAATGTTTGAGTTATTTCACACAAAAATTAGTCTCTATGAAGAACTGCAAAATTTCATTTGTCAAAAATGAAAACTCTATTATCCATGCTTCCCTTTCCACCATATATATCAAAGCTTTTAAGGCCTACATTTATTTTCCATTGTATTTACTGACTCATTCCTGCTGCTCGGTAACATTTACCTTTTTGGTTCCCCACTTCATGTCTGTACATTTTAATCTGTAAACCACCCGAAATCCTTTTGGAAGCAAATGAGGTATAAAATCCAAACACATAAATCCCTAATCCTTTCAGAGATCCAAACAAAAAGTGCTAAATGGCAAGACTAACAGAAGAATGCATGATTCAATTATCTTCTCAAAATGGGAAGCTGAATAATAATTTACAAGGGAAAGGTCAATGACAAGAGTGAAGATGAGATTAGGTGGTCCATTATATTTGATGAAAAAACTCAGCCAGCAAAGTATTCATCTATCTTCTTCAATCAATAAAGGGAACTTTGCAGGCATCCACATAATATAATTTGGCCTTTTGTTACTCTAGTGCATGCATGCTCCTTACTGGAATGACAATCAGTAGTAGATCTGGTATGTTTGAGTTACATTCTCTTTCCCAGGAGAGTTAGAATGATTTGCAAAGAGAGCAAGGGTCATGCATAAATTCAGACAGTGTCAGTGCCATCTCAGCAGACTCAGTTCAAAGAATGAAGAATGCTGACACAGCATTGCAGCATTCAGCAGCTACTGCAATAACTCTCTGCGGCAGGCCCGTGAGCCTGAATAGCTCTCCAAGGATAATCCAAAAAAAAAAAATACTGACGATGTCAGACAGGATATCTTATATATACATAGCAAAATTACAATGCAAAAGTCAAAATTGACATCGTAATAAAAATTGAAGGAAAGATGTTAATAAAACTGTTAAGTATGCTATAAATCAGTTACCAGAACTGCTACTCAGGGGTATACATTCATCACTGACTGGGACCTGCTTTACTGCTGCATAAATTAGCTGGCGCTACATACAAACATGGAAAGCCATTCATTCTATTGTGTACTCCCTTCAGTCACATTGTGTTTGTTTCTGCCTATTATCTGCTTTGGAAATGAACATCTATTGCATTCAGGAAACAATTCCAGAGCGTTGTCCTTCTTCTACTTCCTCAGCTCTCTTTGCTAGCAGGTGGTCACTCTCTGGGATATGCCCTCAGTTCAGAGTGCTGTAAAGAACTGCAAGACTTGATCTGCCCTACTTCTTTCTTCACTGATTTAAATCTTCCATTCTCCACTGTATTTTGTCACAGACAGAAAACAGAAATCACAACCCCCCCAAGACAAAGGGTGCTGGTGTTCTTTATCTACTTCTAACCACCTCATCAATACCTCTGTCCAAACCTGGCTCTGAAGCATATGATTTATAGTAACAATTTGCAGCCAATTCTTAGCAAATGAGGCTTAATGATGCTCCCTTTATTGCTCTGACTGGATACACTTTGTTCCTGTCTGCATTCAGGGGCCTCTGACTTTCACCTGCTATTTCTGTTACCTTCCTGAGAGAGCTATGACCTAGAAAGACCCCATGGAAGCTGGGAAGGGAGAGGTCTCTGTAATACAAAAGTGGAGATGCTAGATTATTATGTAAGAAAATTGCTACAGATTTGGAGCCTACCATGGATTGCTTAAGGCAACTGGCAGTTGCCTCCGTTTAAGCTCTTTTTTATAAAGAGTTCTCAGGTACCCCAAAGCAAGTCATCAATCACCCACTGCAGAGAGAAGCAGAACTTACTGGGGAATTTGCAACGGCCCAAGCCTCCTATTAAATAAAATCAAATTCCACCACAGCCTTCAGCTCAGAATGCTATTAGACATCATTAATTAGGAAAGACTAGGGAAAATGCATTTCTGAATCAGTGAAAAGTCTGAATTTTAACACATTTTAAACAAAAGCACAGTGTACGTACTTTAATCATATATGGTAACTAACTCGCAAAGGTTAACAACCTGGGTCTGATATCTCCATTGATTCTTAATCCATAAATGAGCATCTTTTGTAATTACCACAGTCATTGTTTTAATGCAAATGGATATTTTAGAATCACTTGAAAAAGTCTGAAAATACTGTAATACGTCTTCTTAAATTGCTTAAACATTTCTCCAATCCTCTTGTTTTCAGGAACCTCAGGAAATTTCCAAACAAAGGCAAAGACAAACTTCAAACACCACCCTGACATAAATTTTCCAAATGTCCTAATTAGAAGATGTAACTTAATGAGGTTTTTATTATGCTGTAAATCACAGAAATAAAAGCAGAAGAATGCATCTTGAAATGAACTTCAGTTTCAACATTGACATACCATGTTTATACCTGACTTAACGAAGTGCTTAACTTTGCCCTTCAAAGTGTCAAACTAGGCCTTGGATCTGCCACATAGAGGGTGTAGTTAATGCAATGAGAAAAACTGAATAAAATTGGCTGTTGCTCTCCAGTCATTTAAACTGATGAAGGTGTTCAGTAAACTTGTAACAATAGGGTAGGAAATAACTTTTCTATTAGTACAATTTCAGCCCTTATTAATTTTTACAGAACGAATGAATTACAAGATGAAAAGTAAAATAAACCCCCTTTAAGTTGCGTAGGGAAGAGAATAGTGGTTAGGAGCTTTGGGGCTGAAATCCTGCCTCTTCCAACCTGCTAGCGCCGTGATCCTAAAGCAGCTATATCTTAACTCTAAGCCTAGGTTTCTTCTTCTGCAAATAAGGATAAATTATGCCTTTCCTTATATTAGGATGTGTGAGATAAAATGCACAGCCTGGCATCTTACAGTCAGGAACTACTTCATAAATCATATTATTTTTACTGCTGATGCAACTACCACTGTACTGCTGGTTCTGGCATTATCCACTGTCTCCCTAGCCAATCTAGTTCCATTTCTCTTCTAAGAAGTGAGCGTTCAGCAAAAAATAATACTTCCAAGTGTTATGTTCAAAATAACAGTGCTGCTTGATACACTGTGGATGTATGTCCCCACCCAAATCTCATGTTAAAATGTAGCACCCCATGTTGGAGGTGCTGCCTTGTGGGAGGTGACTGGATCAGTGGGAAGGATTTCTCATGAATGGTTTAGCACCATCTGCTTGGTGCTGCCCTCGTGATACTGAGGGAGTTCTCACGAGACCTGGTCATTTAAAAGTGTGTGAGGGAGTTCTCACGAGATCTGGTCATTTAAAAGTGTGTGAGGGAGTTCTCACGACATCTGGTCATTTAAAAGCGTGTGAGGGAGCTCTCACGAGATCTGGTCATTTAAAAGCGTGTGAGGGAGTTCTCACGAGACCTGGTCATTTAAGAGCGTGTGACGGAGTTCTCACGAGATCTGGTCATTTAAGAGCGTGTGAGGGAGTTCTCACGAGATCTGGTCATTTAAAAGCATGTGAGGGAGCTCTCACGAGATCTGGTCATTTAAAAGTGTGTGAGGGAGTTCTTACAAGATGTGGTCATTTAAAAGTGTGTGGCACCTCTCTTCTGGCTCTCTTGCTCCTGCTCTGGCCATGTGATGTGCTGCCCCTTTTTCGCCTCCCGCCATTATTCTAAGTTTCCTGAGGCTTCCCCAGAAGCCGAGCTGATGCCAGCTTCATGCTTCCTGTACAGCCCGCAGAACCAGGAGCCAACTGACTTCTATTCTTCATAAATTATGGAATCTCAGATACTTCTTTGTAATATGAAAACAGTTGAATACACTACTGCTGCTGCTATTAGTGATGACACCATGTCAGGCACTGGCTGAGTGATTTACATACGCTATTTCTTTTAATTTTCACAGGGACTTAATGAGGTAGAGGTGCTACTTTATAATTGTTTATTTAATTTCAATATTCATCTTATAAATGAGGAAACTGATGGACACAGGGAGGAAAATGAAAGCCAAAATTTGAACCCAAGGAGTCTCAAGTCACAGTCCAGACTTTCAGCCACTAATTGATCCTTCCTCTGGCTTCACTTGTAGTTCTGATAGTGTTTCTGATGATCAAGCTGAACAGCGGTTTTTAAAGTGAGAGCAGTACTACTCTGTTTGGATGCCCAACCTGCTGTGCTGTGGGCCATGTAACATTGCAATTCCTTTCTCCAATGGATATGAGCTTATTCAGGTTACACAATCTCTACTTATTATGAAAGTTTGTAGGGGCCAGAAGATAAAGGCAAAAGATGGTCTCATTATTTGGCTTCTGTAATTTAGGCCTCACCTGGACACTCCAGAACATTCCCATTGTAAGGTTAAGACCCTGATCTTTAGAGCATCGAGTGCCAGCTGACCAATTTCTAAGGGTTTCAGAAATTTCAACTTCTGAAATAAAATTTCAATTTCATTTGTTGTCCCAGCCATGATTCCTTGAATCACATCTTCTATATATGCATGTATATATTTATTTATCACCCATCCCACCTAGCATTCCTGATCTTGGTTTACCTCTCCTGCTAGGAAACAGGCACACCTATGTAAAAGCAAGAACATTCACTAAGATGAGTAGAAAGTCATAGCCTTCACTGACTGGGAAGACTCTTGGAGGTCATTTGTTCCAGCCTCCTCATTTTGGGAAAATGGAGTGTAAAATCATTTCAAATGCTTTAAAGGCAGGACACATGGCTGTGCTCTTACCCTTGCAGTGAAGTCCACAGCAGCCGCTCGGTTTAACAGCAACGTGGCTACATTGATATTTCCATAGTGAGCAGCTATGTGGAGCGGAGTGAAGCCACTCTGTAAAGAAAACACAGCAGACGTTCAATTGATTCCTGCTGGCCCCCGTCAGACAGGCAAATATCATAGCCCTGCCCAAATCAAAATGAGGAAGCAAAATATGCTGAGGTCTATGTTCCATTCTGTACTAGGTTTCGATCAGTGCCAATTGCTCGCAGGGTTTCTAATAAACCCTAAACTCATAGGCAGAAGAATAGCCAGGGAGGAACCAAGGGTGGAGACTGAGCAATTTTAGCAACCCAGTAACAGAACTATATAAAAGCCAACATTTCAAAAAATTAAGATAGAGATGACGAGAAAAATCGTTAAAGCTGATAGCTTGATTAGTACCACTGTTTTATTACTGATGATAGAATTGTGCATTGAAACTCAAAATTCAATTAGTTTATATATTTGATACAGATGCAAATTAACCAATAGTAAATGCCAATTTTAATGGCAAAAGCAATTTCGGGGGAAGAGGTACTACCACAAAATTGGTTTTATATAATGGGCAACTGTATTCCATGAAGAATCCACAAGTTAATCTGTTTGTTAGCAAATGCCTATTCAATAACACATGTTTCTGGATTGTTTATACCAAGGTCATTTTACTTCCTTAAAAATGCTAAAACATGCAGCGATTCACTTAGTCCCCAAAGATGGAAACCTTGTAGGAACTAGATGCATTTCTAATTTGTTAGCAAGCTTCTTAGCCATGCTAGCGATCTCACTGACTCTTGTAGAAGGGTGGGTCACACTGACGCCAGTCTGAAATACCTTTCCTTCTGCTGACACCACAGAGGGTAAGTGTCATGCACAACCCTAAGAAACCAGTCCTGGATGAGTAGAATGACAGGGTTGTCTGCAGCTTTAGATATAGCTGATAAACATCTAAAGTGTCCCAACTCTTCATCTCACACAGCTCTATTGCAATACCCTTAAGAGTCAAGGATTCCTCATTCTTCTCTTTCAAACACCAGGTTCAGCTGCAGAAAGCCCTGGTAGTCAAACTACTGCTATCTTATCTGGCACATGCTCCTTTGGGGAGAGGAGGGATCAGGGATAAAGCAGGTATCTAGCCTACAGAAGGCGATGCAAAGAAGAAGGGAGAGACATGAGGCAGCAGCACTAAGTAATGGGAAAATGATGATGCAGATATAGACTACACGTATATGCATATATATATGTATATATACCTCTGTTGTTCTATTCACCACCATCTAGGTTAACACATTTGGAAGCAAAGAGGAGGAAAAAATGAACGGTTAGTTCACTATTGGTGATATGGACTGCAGAAAGCTCATGACAGCTAAGTAATGAGGATGGAAGCTGATGAAAGCACAATAGGCACAGAAAGAAAGCTAGACTGAATGATGGGCTACGCAAAGGCCTGGTCCAAATGCCACATTTCAGTCACAGAGACTTTCAGGTACCACACGTCATGACGATGGAAATTTTTGGCTGTGGCTCTCTTGCTGCTGGCATGCTCTCCACAGCTGATCTATGCTCAGTGCCTGGCCTGTCACCTTGGGTATCAAACAGAGGTTTGCTGTCTACACTGTCTTTAGCATTTTGTAATTTTTTACCCTGATGTTTGAGCTGAAGTGTTGAATATGTTCCGAAACTATATTCAAAGGAAGGAAATGATCACTGTATAGAAACTGACTTCTTTTGGGGTGGCCTCCCTTTTAGCACGCATAGGGTCATAGTCTCCTCAGTCCCAGCTTCTAACGTGAAGGGAGGCTGTGCCTTCAGTGGCTAGCTCGGACACACATTTTTTTCCTCCCTTCAGTGAAGTTAAGGGTGTGGCATAAGCTTGCCAAGAGGGAGACCAACACAGGAGAGCTGCATGACAAGCCCGTGGCTATAGCGCCTCACCTTGGATTCCACATCCGCATTGTTGTCATTCTGCAGCAGCAGGGCAGCGGCTTTTGTGTCGTCTTTTCGGGCCGCGATATGAAGAGCTGGGAGACGCACTTTTCCTTTGGTGTCATTCTCTAGCAGGAGCGAAACGACTTGGTCATGACCTTGTTGCAAAGCCACTGCCAATGGTGTGAAGCCATCCTGCAAGTAAATGGATGGGTCAAGACTGGTTCCAATGAATATTTTCTTTTTTATGAAATTAACAAATAAAAAAAATCAACAAAAAAGGCAATCAAGTGAACAGACATCAATTTTTGTTTGGAGTTATTAAAACTAACAACATATTTAAATGGAGAGAAATGTAGAAAGATTCTCTCTCTCTCTCTCTCTGTGTGTGTATCAAATGGGAAATTTTTGAAAATGTACAAAAATATTACATTGAAAAGAAAAAGTTGCCATAATATCAACATCCATAAAATAATCTCAGGACTAGATGGCTCATGCCTGTAATCCTAGCACTTTGGGAGGCAGAGGCCGGTGGATCGCTAGAGGTCAGGAGTTCAAGACCAGCCTGACCAACATGGTGAAACCCCATCTCTACTAAAAATACAAAAAATGGCTGGGTACGCTGGACGCCTGTATTCCCAGCTATCTGGGAGACTAAAGCAGGAGAATTGCTTGAACCTAGGAGGTGGAGGTTGCAGTGAGCCGAGACCATGCGACTGCACTCCAGTCTGGGCAACAGAGCAAGAATGTCTACAAAACAAATCTCAGGAACTCATTTAAATACGATGTAAAAATTTCCACGGATTTTTAAAAACTGAGATATAGGCCTGTCTGGTTCATTCCTGTGCCCCATTGCCTCGCATATTCCCGGTGCTGTCAGGATATGTGAATTCACGAATGGTACTCATTGCTGCTTTACGAAAAGTCTATAGAGACTAAGGTTTCAAGAGCTAAGAGAAAGACCTTAGTTGCTGTGACCAGTGAGAGAAAACAACACAAAGATCATGCAAACATGACTATTTATTTATTCTGGTTGTCTTTTTTCTTTTTAAATTTTATTTTAAATTGAAAATTATAATTACAAATATAGGATGCAAAGTGATACTAGGATTTATGAATACAAGTGGAATGATCAAATCCAGCGAATTAACATCTTCATCACCACAAATACTTATTTTTTGTGGTGAGAATATTTGAACTTTATTCTTTTAGCAATTTTGACATGTACAATACATTATTACTAACTCTGTTAACCAAGTTGTGCAATAGATTTCAAAACAAGTAAAATAAAAACAGAAATTTATTCCTCCTCTCTGACCATTACCTCCTGTCTCCCCATTACTCCCAGTTCCTAGCCTCTGATAACTACCATGTTCCTCCTGGCTTCTATGGATTTGATTAAAACATGACTTTAGAATAAATTCAGACATAAGTGCACACATACGTACTCTATAGATTTTGAATCTTCCCTTTATGTTACCCTGGGACTTGATAAAGGGGACACAGTTACAGATTTCACTGCAGTTAATTAATTTGCAGATTACCTAGAGTTGTTGAATGCAAAAAAACAGCACAGGATAGAAAATTCTAAGACTGGCTCAGAAATTGTAATTCTGCAATGTTCTCGTTATTATATAATCAAGAGGGCATTTATTTATTTATTTATTTTTTGCTAGAGAACTGGCATGCAAGTGACTTATGATTTTTATTTGGGTCATATTTTATTTCTGTAGTCCTATGGTACAGAAGAACATTTGGAAAGCACATAGGAGCATGTATACACCTAGGTCTTCCTAAAACATCCCTTTCAATACTCTTTCCCTTGCTAGAATACAGAGAAAGGCTCTTATAAATCATTTGACTGAATGCAAATCAGTACACTTATACTCAAGACGTGCAAAACATTGACCCAAAGCACCTAAGTGGCATTATTGCTCAGTATCTTCCCCGATAAATCTTACCAGTGTTTTAATTCGTACAGACTTAATTCTCTTCTGACACCTGTACTCATGCTATTTCCCCAACCCTGAAATGTCCCCTTCTTCTATGTATACACATCCCGTCTATCCATGATGCTTCAAGATCTGGCTTAAATGACACCTGTTTCTTTCAACTTTACTACCCAAGACAGCAGGAAAAAGGAAAACAATCACATAACCAATGCATTTAGAAGGATATTCCCTGAAGCCTTAAGAAGGATAACAAGGGCCAGGCGCGGTGGCTCACGTCTGTAATCCAAGCACTTTAGGAGGCTGAGGAGGGAGTATCACAAGATCAAGAGATGGAGACCATCCTGGCCAACATAGTGAAACCCCGTCTCTACTAAAATACAAAAATTAGCTGGGTATGGTGGCACGTGCTTGTAGTCCCAGCTACTTGGGAGGCTGAGGCAGGAGAATTGCTTGAACTCGAGAGGCAAAGGTTGCAGTGAGCCGAGATGCTGCCACTTCACTCTAGCCTGGAGACACAGCAAGACTCTGTCTCAACAACAACAACAACAAAAAGGCAGGATAAACAGGGAAAGACTGGATACAACCAAGATGTCACTAAAATGATGCTATAGGTTTACACTTACAGACAGAAACTTTAGAATATATAAGAAAAGTAGTCTACATATCAATGTATGGATGCTTTCATTAAGGTATTACATGTATATAATGTGTACATGCGCAAACAATTGGATAAAAATGTTATCTCTAGGAAAAACTAACAGACTTCTTGCATTTTATTGTAAGTTCTAATTTATGTAATGTGTTACTTTTGCAAAAAAAAAGGAAATATGCATTGTTTAAATGAGAGTGTGGCAAAAGGAAAATTGTGTTTTAAGATTTAATTTTGCATCTCACTTTAAAAACCTGAACAAAACCTATGCGGTAAAAATGTCAGTCCACTTCTGTTGTGAATCCAGACAAAATGGCTACATTTCCACTGAGGTGAATTTTAAAATTCACAGGACCTATTCACAAAGGAAACTATTTTGTACCAGAAAATAAACTGCCACTGAGCCGATTAACACTGACAAGAATATGTTTCCTGCATAAGCCAATTAAAGACACAAAGATACCAGCTCTAAGGTGTTGACAGCTAAAATTAGCAGCTCCAGATTTTGTTTCAAAACCAAGTTTAAATGGTGTGGTTTGCTGTGTGTGGTTATTCTTAAGATAAAAATGAGCAGAAAGGAAATATGATACAGGATACTTGAAAAAAGGGTCCATCCCCTGGTTACCCAAGGAGATCCACTACCTTGTGCAGTGTCTGCAACATAATAGATGCTTAATAATTACTCATGAAACAAATGAACAAACAAATTTACTGCATGCTTCAGAATCAAAATTAGCAGGAGGAAGATAGACAGATATAGACAGATAGAAAAGATATAATATGCAGTACACAGTAATATAAAAAAGTTTTCAAAAACACAATTATATTGAAGTCTTGCTGCACATATACAAGATTTGAAGTGTGCCAGGCTTACTGAAAAAAACACATCTGAAAGAATCTGGCAATATCCCATTATGTAGTGAATTAAGGATTCTATCAAAAATTTGCTATTTAAAGGATCCTTTAATTGTCCCCTACTATTTGTTCTGTAAATACAGACTTTTCTATAAATGACACCAATATTATTGCTAATAAGAGTGTAATACAGTAATTAGAATATCATTTGAATAAAATGTCTTATATCCTGTTGTTCTCATTCTCTAATACCAATAATCCGAAGAAGAGAAAAAATTCAAAGGTTCAAACATCTCTAGGTAATTAGGTGTTGTTTATGCAGCAATATAATAGCAACCTCCCTGAAGACATGAACATGACTTATTAGACACAATATTGTTTTTCCCCGTAAAACTACAAAAATAACATGAAATTAAATTAATGTAAAGGAGTAAAAGCTTTTAAAATATATATCCTTGACCAAAAGACTGAAGTGATTTGAAGATCTCACATACTATTTTTCTTTAAGTTAGTTGTAGGGCTTCTTTTTGGGCCTTGAAAACTTCAAAAAGTACTAGAGAGCTCTGAGAGTTATTAGCAATTGGTTTACAAGCTAATTCAAATCTATTAGTAGTAAATTGGGGTTATGTTTGCTTCTAAAGGAGAGACAGTGATCTGTACATCATAGTGTAAAAAAGAGAGTACCATACCGTCTGTACAAAGACAGCTATGGAATCACTTTCATTAGGTTATTTATATTGTTTAATATTTCCAGCCAAAAATGAGGATGGGTTTTCCCTTAGCCAGTAGCCCCTGACTGTCTCTCTTTCCCCTGTGCACTATGATACAATGTGTGCATCATACTGTGCTTTAAATAGCTACTCTTGAGTCTGAAGAGAGGCACTGTTCTCTGCCTAGCAAATGTTTGTTCTTTTTTGTTTGTTTAGTGACAGGGTCTCACTGTTGCCCAGGCTGGAGTGTAGTGACTACTCACGGTGCGACCACAGAGCACTATATCCTCAAACTTTTAGGCTCAAGTGATCATCCCATCTCTGCCTCCTGAGGAGCTGGGGCTACAGGTGTGCACCACTGCACCTGGCTAAATGTTTGTTATTTTGATATCAATCAGTAGTTATTTCTTAACTAGCTTTAAGAATACTATTTTAAAAAATAGCATTCTCAAGATAAAAATCCCCTAAAGTATGGATGGGTATAAAATGAAAAAAATGGGTATAAAAATCCCCAACAGTACTGATGAGTACAAAGGCTCCCTCCTAATTCTCAGGGCAAACCAGTGATAATAATCTACTATGGACATTTTCTTATATCAGAGGCTTGTCTCATTTTTAACAGTGCTGAACTGCGGCATTTTACTACATAAATATGCGAACATTTATTAACAGGTTTCTTTTCAGTTCCTTTCAAAGCCAAATAGTTCTGAATAAACAGGATTCTTATCGGTGGTATATTTAGATTCTGATTTTTTTTTTTTTTTTGAGTCTTGCATTGTTGCCCAGGCTGTAGTGCAGTGGCTCAATCTTGGCTCACTGCAATCTCTGCCTGATGGGTTCAAACCATTCTCCTGCCTCAGCCTCCCAAATAGCTGGGACTATAGGTGTGCGCCACCACGCCCAGCTAATTTTTTTTGTATTTGTAGTAGAGATGGGGTTTCACCATGTTGGTCAGGATGGTCACGATCTCCTGACCTCATGATCCGCTTGCCTCGGCCTCCCAAAATGTAAGAATTACAGGCGTGAGCCACCACCCCTGGCTGATTCTTTCTGGTTTTTCGAAATTGCTGTTACTAATTGTGTTGACATTCTTTTCTACTATTTTTGCATCCTAATGCACATATATCTATAATATATAGTTTATGTATCTGGTATTTCTATAATATAAATTGTTAGAAGTGGAACTGCCAAGTAAAAAGGCTTGTAAATATTAATTTTTGATAGTTGCCGCCAAATGCTCTGCAAAAGTGTTGTGACTAACAATCAATTTCACCAGTATTGTAGGAAAGTTCTGGCTTCCTCTCCCTATCGATTATTTTTTAGTCTCATTGACAAAAGGTAAGATTTTTTTATCTGATTAATAAATACATCTTTGACTATAAACGAAGATGAGAATTTTTCATATATTTATGATTGTTTGTATATCTTTTGTGTGAGCTATCTCTTAATTTATGTAGTGGTTTCCCTAGAAGGTATAAACTCAAAAACTAAGTGAAATTAGATGCAGTTCCTCTATTGCCATCTTTTCTGTGCCACTCATCGATGTGCTTGAAGCACATCGGCATGCAAGCAAGAGTAGTGGTTTATAATAAGGATAACCCTGCATCTGCTCTAATTCACTGTTTTGTTAGAAATAAAAAAATACTCATTTATTAATCCTTTATTATTAGCAATAGATATTTGGTGACATGCTGAAGTGATTCCAGTCTTCCATCCAGATTAGTTTTAAAAATAAACAGTACCTAAGACAGTATCAATGGCTTAAATAACTTTCTATTTTTTAATCATTCATCTATTATAGACTGCAAAGATTTTTTTCTTCAAATACCATGTCTATTTAATACTTTAAAATGTCTAATAATTTTGGCTGGGCATGGTGGCTCACACCTGTAATCCCAGCACTTTGGGAGGCCGAGGCAGGTGGATCACGAGGTCAGGAGTTCAAGACTAGCCTGGTCAAGATGGTGAAACTCCATCTCTACTAAAAATATAAAAATTAGCTGGGTATGGTGGCAGGTGCTTGTAATCCCAGCTACCTGGGAGGTTGAGGCAGGAGAATCCCTTGAACCTGGGAGACAGAGGTTTCAGTAAGCTGAGATCGTGTCACTGCACTCCAGCCTGGGAGACAGAGCAAGACTCTGTCTCAAAAAAATGTCTAATAGTTTTATTTATAAGTATGAATTAAGTCTCAACTTGAAAAACACACAAATTCAATCATCATAATTAGGTTAACTTAAATTTGGAAAGAAACAATTTAAAGCTAATGGTTTATTGAAATGATAGTTCAAATCAGTTATTCCAAAACAATTATTGCCTTTGCCCATGAGGCAAAATTGTAAGAGACAAAACAGAATTCTCAAGCAAATATGTTAAATATTAAAATAATAGTACAACTATAGCATAGAATCAGGCATTTAAGAACAGAAAAGGTATCTATGCAACAGAAGATTTTTAAAGATTAAAAGATGACAGATTTAAAGATTGAAAGATTTAGCAATGTATTTCATAAAACTTGTGAACCCACACATTAATATACATCTTCAAATGAAATACTAGTAAGACAAATTCTCAACTCCAGGTTTTCAAAATGCCCTGTAAATATGTGAACTTACCATAGGAAAAAAAACCAAAATGACTTACCTCTGTGGCTAGGCTCTGGCTTGCACCATTGTCAAGAAGAAACTTGACAACTTCCAGGTGATTTTCCTGGGCTGCCATATACAATGGCGTGAAACCATTCTGCCAAATAAGAAAAACAATGTTAATCTGCAGCTTTCCAGAGACAGTCTATTTTTCCATGATACCAATGATTTATGCTCTAAGAAGTACTCACATACAATAACTTTAATACTTTCATATAGATACTAATAATTATTAGAAAACCCAAGCACCATCCCTTAAGCTAAATTCCTAATCTGTGTAATTCAAAATTATTTTTATAATTCATAATTTTAGTATAGATCATAGTTTATAGTAAATAGTCCAAGTATAAGTCAACGCAATTTACCCACTTTAAAAATAAGTACACTCACTTAGTCATCAGCCACTTATTGAGAGCCTACCATGTGTAAGTGTTTTACTAGATGCCGTGAGAAGATGAAGAAAAACACATTTTGTCACTGTAGCTCCCAAGCCTTAATTATCTGTTTTAAATAAACATGTAATATTTTCACACAAAAGTAAGCATCTGAAGTAGTTTCGACATGGGAATGAATTTATATTAATCTCAAATAGCTTCAAGGTTAGCACAGATGTGGTCTTTAGAGCGAAAAAAGAAATGCCAATAATGGTATGATTCAATTTAATTCATAGTCTGTTTTTGTAGGTTTCCTTCCTTTGTATTTTTTTGCCAAGGTATTTTTATGTTCAGAATACATATATCCCTATATATTATACATACCTACGTATACACATATATTTAGTTTGTGTGTGTGTGTGTGTGTGTGTGCCTCTCTGAAATATGCATCAACTCTCAAAGAAATTGGATCCAAGCAAATTAACATGCATATTACATCTTAAGTTTCCTATTAAAAATATATTGCATATACATGTGTTTTCTAGAAGAATATATTACATATCTTTGAAATACCATACTATTTTAAAATCTTATTGCAAGATATAAACATCAAACGAATTACAGTTTTCAAACTATAATATTTTGTTTTATTATTATTTTGAATAGGGTCTCACTCTGTTGCCCTGTTTCAAAATAATAATAATAAAAAACCAAAAAGAATGGAGTGTAGTGGTGTGATCACAGCTCATTGCAGCCTGAATTTCTTGGGCTCAAAAGATGCTTCGGCTTTAGCCTCCCAAGTAGCTGGGGCTACAGGCATGCACACCCAGATAATTTACTTATTTTTTTATATATTTTTATAGAGATTGGGTCTCCCTGTGTCACCCAGAATGATCTTGAACTCCTGAGCTTAAGCCATCTGCCTTCCTTGGCCTCCCAAAGTGCTCAGTTACAGTTGTGAGCCACCACACCCAGCCAGTAAATTCTTTTTGAATATGCTTTTCAAAATGCAATACTATTTAACCGAATATTCTAAAAATTTTATTGTATACATTGTGCAATTTCAACAACTAAAAGTAAATATATCCTAAACTACAATGTTAGCAAATATTCAAACTTTTGTGACAAAAAGATTTAGGTTCATTATTATAAATATCAACTACTATATGATTACCTTACTTATCCATAAGTTCAGCCTCTGGTGAACACCCTGCTTTTGGCTTATAACTGAGAACTAAAAAGTAAGTTAAAAAGATCCTTGAGCAGATAAATTTGATGCCATATAACAAATCCACCAAGGCTGTGTACTTATCAGAGTTCCTCTATTCTACTTTCTCTCTTTGGCACACAATTGTAACAAGTTAGGTGATCTGGTTGCCAAGCTCCATATTAGAAACACAAAATTAGAGGAGATGGAATGCAACATCACACTCAATCTTCTTGCTTTTAAATTGTCTACCTGATAATATCTCTGGAGCCCATGGTTACTCTACTCTATCATGAAAGATTCTACCACATTTAAACATGAAGCCACAATCTATCATGAAAGATTCTACCACATTTAAACATGAAGCATGGAGTACTTGGAGCACTGTGTGTGCATGTGAGTGTGTGCGTGTGTGTGTCCATAGGACTGTGCGCGCGTGAGTGTGTGTGTCCATAGGCCTGTGTGTCTTTCATCTCTGTCCCTCTTCCCAGCACTATGAGTGAAACTGAAAGGGAGTTTAGGATTATCCTCATCATATTGCTATTTTCTCATTTTCGAATTAGACCAAAATGAAAGGTCATTACAGCCTTAAATATTTGTTAAGCAACAAAACAAAAAAGAAAAGAAAGGCTAAAACCAGTTGGCTTTTTCGTATAGCTAAACTAGGTACTAAGTGTCTACCTTCCCTCATCCGGTGCTCTCTCTGAAGGCTGAAACCTTGAGAGGACAGGTTCAGATTTTTAGGGGTAAAGTTTGTTTTTTTTAATAGTTCCAAAATAAATGTTTTCCTCTTAGACATAAATATCAACAAGATATTTATGTCACGGCAAGTAATGCCAGTTCATTCTCAGCTTCAGGGTGGAGGTCTGCTGTGGTCCAAGACTGCCTAAGAAACACTAGTCTATCCACACATGTCTGGCTCTAGTAAATGTCCATCGTTGTCACAGTTTCTTTCCAGAACCAACCATTTCAGGATCCATGAAGAAAGTCCAGACTCAGGCACTGGGTTTTAAGATAATTCTTTCTTACGAACCTGGAGCTTCTAGAGACTTATTCTTAAGAAGCACAACTCTGAAATCATTCCACATGCCCTGTTTTACAATGACAGAAACTGAGATGCACAGAATTAGGATTATGTAGAACCGCTTGTAGACACAAGTCACAGAAAGATGTAGCCCTGTAATTAACTGTCTTCCACAATAGCTTCCACCTTCTTTTAGAGTACTTGCCATCCTAAGATTATTACCTGAGAGTTGATCATTTTCTGAATGGTTACATCCTTGCTTGTTTTTTGATTTTTAAAATATTTATTGATATATAATTTGCATGTCATAAAGCTCACCTTTTTAAAGTGTACAATTTAGTGGCTTTACGTATATTCATCAAATTGGGCAACGCTTCTATCTAATTCTAGAACATTTTCATCATCCTACAAAGAAGCCCTATACTCCTTAGTAATCACTCCCCGTTTCCTCCTAGTAACCACTAATGCACTTTCTGTCACTATGGTTTTGTCTATCCTGGTTATTCTATATAAACATAATCATACAATATCTGTCCTTGAAGGGTCTTATGCTATTTCTTTCATTTTTGTTAAGAGATAGTGATATGGTTTGGCTGTGTCCCCACTCAAATCTCACCTTGAATTGTAATAATCCCTGCATATGAAGGGCAAGGCCAGGTGGAGATCATTGAATCATAGGGCAGTTTCCCCCATACTTTTCTTGTAGTGAATAAACCTCATGAGATCTGATGGTTTTATAAATGGGAGTTCCCCTGCAAAAGCCCTCTTGCCTGCCAGAATGTATAACATGACTTTGCCCCTTATTTGCCTTCCACCATGATTGTGAGGTCTCCCCAGCCATGTGGAACTGTGAGTCAGTTAAACCTCTTCTTTATAAATTACCCAGTCTTGGGTATATCTTTATTAGCAGCATGAGAACAGACTAATATAGATAGGGTCTTGTTCTTATCGCTCAGCCCGGTGTGTAGTGGTATGATCACAGCTCACTGCAGGCTTAACCTGGGCTCAAGTGATCCTCCAGCCTTAGCTTCCTGAGTAGCTAGAACTACAGGCATGCACCACCACATTTGGGTAACTTTTTAATTTTTATTTTTGTGGAAACAGGGTCTCACTATGTTGCTGAGGCTGGTCTCAAACTCTAGCCTCCTGCTTTAGCCTTCCAGAGTGCTAGGATTGCAGGCGTGAGCATGGTGCGTGGCCTTCTTATGCTATTTCTGTGCTCTATACTGATAAAATGTTTTGGTGAGCCTCTCATGGTGGAATTTTCAATTTTAGAGTGGTCATTTGTAGAGTGTGGGTGCTTATTTTACTTTGCTTTAGTTTCTGTCACCAGTCCTCATACCCATTTCCCCTTCAAGAAAATGTCACCCCTATTTTCTTTTAGAGAATTACTTCTTCCCATTATGCAGATAGGACTTGTCCTGGATGGACTGAGAAAAATGAGCTTGCCCTTCATTAATTACAGAGTAGACACACATGCAGGCTATCTTCTGTTTTCTCGTTTAGGTCCACCCTTGATTCTCCCTCTCCAGCCTTGGTTGACCTGTAAGAACCAGGTCAGAGGGCAGCCTTACTGTCTTGCTTCTCACTATGTTCTCCTACTCTCCACCCTAGCTATGGGGTTTCCAAAGCTTTCTGAAAGTTTCTTTAGCTTTCTATTTTCTGTGTTCCCCAAGCAATTTCAATAAATTTCCTCTTGTGCTTAAGTTAACTTCTGTTCCTTTAATTCAAATAACACCCCAAATTACAAATTTTATGTCTCAAGAAATGGTCAAGACATGAAAACACATACATGCCATTTAGTTATGATTCTAGAGAGAAAATCAGAAGTGTCCTTTGGAAAGGGTGAATAAAAATACTGCTATCACTCCCCAGCTCAAAGAGGCTGAGACACCCTTAACTCAATGTGTTGTCATTAGACAACCTAGAACCATAACTGTTCACTGTGAAATGGCACGTGGATTGGGAGAATGGTCAAATTTCAAAATAACAGAAAAAAGTATACCACTGTCTTTATAGTAATTTCCTAATTTAGAACATTTCCAAAACAAAGCTAGCTGAAAAGGAATATACGAATGCCCAATTTGCATTTTCTTTTCTGTAGCAACAACAGATTAAATTCTCTAAAGGCAGAGCAGCTTAGAGGGAGTGAGTATGCTATTTGAAGTCTGATTTTATCCAATATATTCAATACCTTCTGCTCTGAATGTTTATAGTGGTGCTATTATAAGCATGTAAATCTGTTGATAGTACTGAGGCATGCTGTCTAATACACACCAAAATAAAAGAAAATGAAATAATAAGTATTCCTATGATTTCACTTGGGAAAGGGCTTACATTTCATCCATGAAATTTTTCTATTCATTCTAGTTTTCTACGGCTAGCCTTTGCAACTCATAAAGTGCTGTTCTTAATTAAGATGTTAAGGGTATGGTGAAAGATTTGCATTGATTCCTATATGTCACTAATTTTCATGAAAGTCAGTTAGATTAGAGGTGCAATGTAAGGTCACAAAGGCTCAATCTGAACCATACCCAAAGTCCCATACTTGTACTGTCTAACTGTGTCAGGATCAAACTGTCCCACCATAGGGAATATCAGAGTACCCAGAAAGAACAAGGAGGCACTGGTTAACTTAAAGGCTGTTACCTTTGCAAATACCACCATGAAAATCCATTCATTCAAAATACTTTGGCAGTTAAAATGTTATTGGAAACAGACTTTGCTTCTTTATAAATTCAGTTGTGCTTTATATTATAAAGACAGAGAAAGAGGGAAGAGTGGGGGATGTCATTTGTGCAGTTTGAGATTTTTCAACAGCAAACATTGTTAATCATTGCTGATCTATCTAGTATAAAGCATTAAGGATTTAATAATAGAATTCTTTATTATCACAATTTAGTCAACTCAATTTCTTTCTCAGAGTAGGACTCAATGATTGGAATGTTAAATAATAAAAGAAAGGGTTAACTTGTTAGGACCTAAGATCAAGGCAATGACAAAACTTACCTTAAAATCTATAAATTCCTGGTTTATAAAGCCTTAGTTTATAAGATGAGAACTTTATATACCCCAATGTCATTTTTATGTTTAAGATGAGAATTTTTATAATGAAGAGTAAGGGACTCTTTTTACACTATATTTTGTTAGCTATTAAATATTGCCTATGGGTTAAAATTTTATGTCAACAGTGATGCCATCTTTCTTGAATACTAATATTTCTGTACTGTTTTATGTGCTGCTGCCTAAATGGAATTGACATCGTTGCTTGTTACTCTTTATAAAAGCTCCTGCTGAAGAGTTGTTACCAGGAATTATCATAAAAACTCCCTTCCTTCACATGTTCATCTCATTACTTATTCCATCCACAGAACGAATTCAGAAGGCATATGAGGGCAGGTGTCCAGATGCAGGGGGAAATGCTTTGCTGTGCAATGTGTGGCTGGTAATTTCAAGCACAACTGTAAGTAACAGGGAATTTCCTATGTTCTTCTCCCTTACTGCATCATCAGTGCGGAATGTGTATAAATTCAAATTAGAACTGATTAGGATTTTATTTCAACTGCAGCTTCTCTCAAACACTGCAGAGTCAGTTTAAAACTATGGCTATTATTCAATAGCGGATGTGATGTTTGAAAGAAGGAGGTCTATTTTTTTCCTCCCTTGAGAAAATAATAAAAGAAATGAATATGGATTAAAGAGTTTTCCCACTATCTCAGAGCTTAAAACTACCTAGCCTTATTTCAGTAAAATATTATTGGAGTATTTAAAAAAAATTTCATTTAAAAGCATGATGCTTCTATTGTAGTCAGCTGGTCTGTATCTCTCTCAAAGTACCATACTTGTTGCTATTTAGTTGTATATTATTCCTTTCTGGAAAAGCATTATTACTCCGAGGAACTCTCCTAGGGAATCAGAATAATTGGCTTAGATCATATAACAAAGGTCCAACCACAGGAAACTAGAATGAATTTAGAGCAAATATACAGAACCTTGCAGTTGGAAGCACTATGCAGTTCCTTTTCTTTGACTCTGCCATTTTATGGCATCAGAGCTGTCATTACTATGTCTGTAGCAAACAGGGGAGGAAGTCACTGCAATTCTGTGAACCCATAAAACAGAGGACACTTGATATCCAAAGATAATTAGTACTGGAAAAGCATGGTAAAATCGAGTGCATTTAAAATGGAGAGCAAAAGGCCATAGTAAATAATTTTTTTAAAAAGTTTGATTCAGACTCACTCTTAAAAGATAAAACTGGAAATTATAAAAATAGGCTTATATGATTTAATATAATACAGATTATAACTGCATTCCTGTATAAGTGCTCGGAATGAACAAAGACTAAACCAAGTGTTATTTTTTCCCAACAAAATGATATATGTTGAAATTCTTCACTTTAAAATTTTCATAGCATGAGAAAAAAGACCATCTTTTGTAAGAAGTATTTGCCATCTAAAGATCTCACTTAACTTTTGGTCTTCATTTAATCTATGTATTTTCAAATAATTCTTATATGAAACAGCTATCAGGAAATCATCCTAACTTTTCACATGCTTCCTAGCCTAATGCTGCCAGAGTGCTATGTACACACAGCTTAGCTGTGCATTCAGAAGTTCTCCAACATCACTTTCCCTGACTTCAGGTAATCTAGTGTCTTTGTCAAAACTTGTAGTTTTGTTTTACAATCAATTTGTTCAATATCCAACACCCCTGGGGAGACACTGACAAATAGGGATGGGAGTCAGCATTTGTCTGGAAGGAAAATCTGAGTGGGAACCAGTTTTAAATGCAGTCATGTTCTTAGTGAATATTTTTGCATTGTGATGATACTTGCTTTCCTACATGACCTGTCTGTGGGGACCCGAATAATGAATACTTGAATAATGAGATATTTTTAAACAAAATAAAGTTAATTCTTTTAGACTCAAAGTCTATCAAATAATAAGCTATTGGCATTTCTCTTAGAAATTCAGGAAAGACCATGTAAAATTTATAGGAGCACCTATGTTCATTACAAATAATCTGAAAATTTTTGAATTTGAGGACTCTTAAAGTTCCTTCTGTCTTTTTAAAAAAAACCTGTTTCAGACAGCAACAAAGATACTTTAGTTATAAGGAGGAATTAAGTATATTCTCCCCTTTCCCAAATAGATAAAACACTGAAATATTTTGAAATTTTAAGAACATTTCCTTATTTATAGGCATCTTTATTTCTTTTGTAGGTTAATAAATATTGAGCTTGAACCTAAGCTAGCATCATAAAACAGTGTAAGACCCTGAATTACAGATACTCTTTAAACACTTGCATCTATGACTGGTATCTTTTATAGACAGACCACTTTAAAAATCTCTGTCACTTATATATTGCAAATGAGAATACATGTGATTTTAAATAATCTGCAATAATTTAACTTTTTTTTTTTGAGACACAGTCTTGCTCTGTCACACAGACTGGAGTACAGTGGTGCAATCTTGGCTCACTACAACCTCTGCCTCCTGGGTTTAAGTGATTCTTGTGCCTCAGCCTCCCAAGTAGCTGGGATTACAGGCGTGTGCCACCATGCCAGGCTAATTTTTTTTTTTTTTTGTATTTTTAGTACAGACAGGGTTTCACCATGTTGGCCAGGCTGGTCTCAAACTCCTGGCCTCAAGTGATCTGTCCACCTTTGCCTTCCAAAATGTGCAGTAATATAACTGTTTTAAATGTAGTTCTTAAGCATTGTGTTCTTAGAGGATATGTGAACTAAGCAAGCACCTGACCCAAAGAATACTGTTTGTAAGTTGTAACAATGTCTATGCATGGAGTTGTACACTTACCTGAGATTGTGCATTGACATTGGCTCCATTTGTAACCAAGACTTTTACTACCTCTGCTTGTCCAGCCAAGGATGCGATGTGCAATGCTGTGTTTCCTTTCTGTAAAATGAAAATCAAGATATATCAATTCACTGATCTATTGAATTTTTCTGTTATCCTCAAAGAGAACAAATTTGACAAATATCTTATGAGAGTTGTGCCCCAATTCTTACTGTGGGCTGAATTCTCATAGAACGTGGCAAGTGGTACCAAAAGCATTCGATATGTGATACTGACCTTCGTAGCTGCGTCCACATTGGCTTCTCTCTGTAGCAGCTCAGAAACAACTTCTACATGGCCTTCTTTGGAAGCAAGATGGAGAGCATTCAACCCATTCTGATCAAAAGCAAAGGAAAAGCTTTACTCAGTAGGTTGAAAATAGAGCAGTAAACAGCCTACCAAGAACTCCTGAGATATTGTAATGTCCTACCTATTGATCACTTGCATGTGCAGGAACTTGAATTACACATCAAAGTACTTGAAAACTACATGGGTTATTCTGTTACCATCATTTACTAAATTTTAGAAATTAACTAAGGGACATATGCCTACATTTCTGAATGTTCTTCTAACACAGCAGAGAATAATTTGACAATGACAAGCTGATAAAATTCAATGGAAAAAAATCTCACATACAAAAAAGAAAGTTTTTAAGGAGTTTAAAGTCTGGATTTTTAGAATTTTGAGTAAAAAATTCAATAATAACTCCCACTAACCTGATTGCAAATGTTGATGTCAACTCCATTTTTTATGTAGTCGAGGGCCTTTTCAAGGTGTCCAGCTCGAGCTGCTCTTAAGTAACTTGCATTGGCATCAGACTAAAATAAAAAAGAGAAACATGTTGATGAAAAATGAAGCTAATCTGCATGTTTCTAAACTATCCAGCTTAGGGTTCAAACTAAAATAATTGAACTGTTTTATTTCTAACATGGAGACATGAATAAAAGTTCTTTGTAAAAGAACCAAGAAAAGGACAAATTTTTTAAAAGTTATTTTTGATGGTACAGTGTTACCCCTTGTGTGATGTCAACAATTCATTCCAAACAGAGAGAGAAAATTCCCTATAACGTATAGGCACCTTAAATCAACACACAATTTCCAGAGGGAAAAGAGAAATTTGATTACTTATTGATAATTACATTATGAAGACCCCACTATTTTCTTGTAGCAGAAAAGTAACATCTATTCCATTTATCCATATCTACCACAGCCATTTTTCCAATTAATAGCTTCAAAATGGCATTCTTCTTCTTCTTCTTAGAAACAGGGTCTCACTCTGTTGCTCAGGCTAGAGTGCAGTGGTGCAATCACATCTCACAGTGGTGCGATAAGGCTCAAGATCCTCCACCTCCTCCTCCCGCGGAGCTGAGACTATAGGCATGTGCCACCATGCCTGGCTATTTTTTAGAGACAGGGGTTTCACTATGTTTTCAGGCTTGTCTTGAACTCCTGGCCTCAAGCAATCCTCCCACCTTGGCCTCCCAAAGTGTTGGGATTATAGGCATGAGCCATCATGCTTGACACATTTTACGTTGTACTTAGCACAGTCTAACAGAAATTTGCAGGCAATGATGTTCTACTGGATTTTCCTATAGTACATAGCCATCTGTAGGAGCAGCAGCAGAAAGAAATACATATAAAAATTTTTTAAAAAACAAGACATGTACTTCACTCACTGAGAGCTTGCAACTGCTAAACTCTAACATCTATAATTTCACAGTTGAAACCATCTACTATTAAAATCTTTAATAGAAAGATGGTGAGAAGAAAGACACTGCAAAGCTGGGCCTGGCCTGCAAACTTTATAAAGAAGTCTTGCTTAATACAGTACAATACAAAAGCAGGTTTTCCTGAAAGAGCAGCCAAACACATCTTGTCACTGGTTATAAATGCAATCACGAAGGGTATGGCTTAAAAGAGAAAAGTGTCTTCTTTCAGCCATATGGTGAACACTGACTTCAAAGCCTTTGTTCAAATGCCACCTCATCTGTGAAGCCTGCCCAGACCCCCCAGGTGGAGTTTAGTTTCTCAGTGCTCCCAGCATGAATTTCACTGAACTCTCTTTGTGTGTACCACACAGCATCACAGATTTTGGTATACCTCTCCTTATTCTACCCTCAATTCTGAGCTCCTTCAGAATAAGCAGAGGACGCAGATTAAGGAGCAGGCAACTGAAAAGCAGCCCAGATGCCAGTCTTTAAGAGAGGAACTCTAATTCTTTCATGCAAATGTAATTGAGAAGAAGGAAATTCTTCTACCCCTCAGAAGGGTCTGTGGTTCCAGTGTGGGTCGATTCACTGAGTCAACTTGCTCAGGACCTCGGAGGAGAGGCCACTGCCTCTGGGGTGGCCTGCCCCTTCCCCTTTATGGTAGTGTGCCTCTCAATCATTATTGTGACTCTAAATCGGGGCTCCTTAGCCTCGGCAGTATTGGCATTTTGATCTGGATAATTCTCTGCTGTAGGGGACTGTCTTATTCATTTTCCAATGTTTACCAGCATATTCTACTGATTAGGTACCAGCAGTACCCCCTATTGGTGACAACTAAAAGTGTTTCCAGAATTGCCAAATGTCCCTTGGGGGAGGGGGCAAAAGCCATCCCAGTTGAGGACCACTGCTTTAAATAAATAGTAACCCAACTTATATAAAGATTGTATGCTTCAGGAGGCTGAACTCTGGCCTGTTTAGCTTGCCACACGCCTTGAATTCAGCACAAGGCAATGTGACTCTATACCTAATACCCATCTTTCTGTTTCTCCTGCAACTGGAAGCATTCTTGGCATATAGCAAGTGCCTCTAAGTGTTTTGTCAATGAATGAATCAACAAATAAGCAAATTGGGTAGAAATAGCCTCTGAAGTAAATTACTGCCTGAAATAATACAGGAGGCTTTATTAGCAGCAGCAACAGCAGTTTAAGTTGAGAATCTGATAGATACAAAGGTGAATACCAGGGATTATAAACTAAGTCACCGAGTCAGGTGTCTGAGAGCACACATAGCTATTACGTAAAATAACATAAAATTGGAATTTGAGATAAGCATGAAAATTATTTAATTAGAGCAGAAGGTTAAAAAGATGACAAGAGATAAACGTTCAAGTTAAATAAAGGACAAATCAAAATTTCCAAGGATTTAAAGAAAAATAGAATGCAGTTTTTAAAGAGGTTCACTATTTAGAGGTTAGTCTTCTGTTTATAAGTTCAGTTAGAACTAAATTAGCTATGCAAGGATGGCTCATTGCACCATAAAATATCATCATCTTTGTGCCTGCTCAATGACTTATCAGTGAATTTGCCCAGAAGGGCTCTGATGCCGTTCTGGGAACAAATGACATCAGTCTGCCTGGATATTTCAACTGCCAGAGATAACAACTGTGAGTTAAGCATCCCAAACTCCGAAGTGGCGTACATATAAAAGAGCAGCTAAAGAAGTTAAAAAGAGCTGTTGCAATTCAAGAAAAAAGCCTTTGAATTGATCCTGTATCTGGAAATATTTAATAATTTCATATACTTTCCATTTTCCTCTCACATTTCCTCAGAATTTTCCCACCCAAACCTCTGAAACAAAACAAAATCAGTATAAAACCAATCTTAGAATTCAGTGGTTCTCTATTTGGAATCTGAATTCGAGACTAATAAAGGTGATGAATGAATGATCTTTCTTCAACAATTGCATATACACACACCAAATCTAATCTGAATACACAATTTGCACATAATTTCATGTGGCTCAGGTGTGCTAAGGCTGCTCGTGAACTTGCATTTAAGAACTCCTGCTCTATTGATAGAAAATTCTCTGGTGGACATCTGCATTATATCTATTTCATCCAATCATCCTGATATCAAACAATTCTCTGAGATAGCTAATTGACCACCTCAGAACTTTAGGAAATACAAGCAAAAATGGAAATTAATTTTCTTCACTTTTCTTGGCCCTCTGTTACATATCAACATGCTTACCACCCCAAAACCATACCAACCACCTACTGCAAATAAAAAGGGGGGAAAGGTAGAGAAAAAGCAAGAAGAGGGGAATGAAGACTGCCCTAAAGAAAATTTACATATTAGGAAATGACCTTACAAAACCCACAGAAAAATAACCAGTAAGCTCCTCCTTTTACCCTTAGCCACCAGCAAGCAATGTAGCCACAGCTTCCTTCCTCAAATATTTGCTGAATCTCGACTATGTATTAGTCATTTTGTCAATAACTGGATACACAGTGGTGAACAAAATAAATGTGGTACAAATAATGACTTATATGCTTTCATTTCACAACTTCTTACTCTCCTCTAAAATAACCTTTCATAAGTGGCAGGGCAAATATTGGATTCTTAACCATTTTTCTCTCCCAAGTTAGCCCATAGGTACTATATAGTACTTATGCATTGTTGTTTATATCCTTCACGTATGAAGAACACAATATTTTTACTAGACTCAGTATCATAGGTTGTATCTCATTTCTGTCATTTCATGGAATAACTAGAGTTACTCTTAACATAGTCTATAGCTTGTTTTTTTAACCTTTTGATAACCTTGTATCAAAACAATGCCTCTTTTGATGCTGTATCTAAAGATGCACCAAAAATGTCAACAAATTACTAAGGAGGAAATTAGGTTCAAAGACAAGTGGGGCTTAGCCACATGAAAAGTCACACAGACAAGGCTACTGCCTAAGGAGTTAGTTGCACAAAAATGTGTATGAACAGGTTGTTCAGCACTTTTTTCCTTCTGGGTGACCAAAAATTTGGAAAATGAAAGTTGATTCTGTTAGCATTTAATGTCCCATCTAGTCATTTTACTAGAAATGTGAATCATGTATGTTTTCAAGAAAATATCTTCAGGGATGCAGTTAAGCATTCTTATGAATTAATCTAGTAACTCAGCATCTTTACTGGCAGTGGAATATTGACATTATTCAGCGGAAAGCAGTTGTTGGAAAGAATAAGCATTTTCAGAATGCCAACCTCCGTAATAATATTTCATACCTCTGACTATAAGCTAGGCATGATTATAAGCACTTAAATAATATTAACTTAATATTATTCTTTACTTAATATGCATTAACTTTATAATTCCTTATAATAATTTATTTAATCCTTTTAACAGTGCCATAAAGTAATGTAGTAGGTTGAATGGTGTCTCCCCAAAACTTATGTTCATTAGGAACCTCAGAACATGACCATATTTGGAAATACAATCTTTGCAGATACGATTAGCTAAGAAGAGGTCATACCGGATTAGAATGGGTCTAAAATCCAATGACTAACCTTGTAAGAAGAAAAATCACATGGACACTTAAGAGAGATGATGACCAAGTGAAGGAAGAGGCAGAGACTTGAGTTACGCTATCTCAAGGCAAGGACCACCAGACGTGGGAAGAGGCAAGGAGAGTCCTCCCCTAGGGTCTTTAGAGGAAGTATGATTCTGCTGAGACCTTGATTTTGGACCTCTGGCCTCCAGAACTGTGAGAGAATACATTTCGGTTATTTTAAGCCCCACTGGCTTGTGGTGGTTTACAGCAGCCCTTGCAAACTAACACAAGTAGGTACTATTACCAGCTCCATTTTGTAGATGAGAAAATTGAGCTGTAGGATAAGTAACTTTCCCAGGGTCATAGAGCTTGTGAATGACAGGGACACAAACCCATACAGCCTGGCTCTGGAGTCTAGGCTGTTAATCACTGCTCTAAGAAAGAACTTAATAAGTACCTGGTCTATTCCAAATGCTCAGTAACTCTCAGCTCATTCATTCATTCATTTTCCATCAGTCCATCCACTTATCTGTCCATCCAACAAATTAACTATTTTGGGAACTTTTGG